GAGAGCTGTCAGCAGGACATTGCATGAGGCTCTGTGATGAAAGGCTAGCAGAGGGCTATCACTATGAGCCAGGGCCTCCCGAAATCCTGAGCTAAATTTGGGGTGGGTTCCAGGGGCAGACAGGACCTGCACTCTACCTTACGTAGCCCACAAGTCATATTCCGAAGCACTGGGTGTTGGGACACAATCCAGCCCATACCCGGGGTGTCTCCCATTTGGCTCAGGGCAGTTCTCCATGGAAGGGGCCAGCCGTGAGCTTCAGCTGAGGGGGTAGGGGACACCAGTCTGTGAAGGAGGCTCTGTCGGGCCCCGACAGCCACCACTACTGAGCAGGTTTGAGCATATGGGTGTCTGTGAATAGGAATTAATAAGTTCACACACACTCTCGCGGGTCTTCCACGAAGTGTCCTAGCCCTTTGTGTGTGTCTGCAAACCTCGCCAGCCAGCAGAGCTCCCAAACGAACTGTCCCCTCCGCCCTGCCAAGGAAGGCTGCGGACAGTGGCACACCTACAGCACAGCCTTCCCGTTTGCACTCCCAGCCTTTTGGTGGTGATAACTTCAGCATCTTTTCTCTTTCTTTCTCTTCAGCTTTCTCCTTGCAGAGAAGTGTCTCTGTAATGTATATGTATTTACTTTTAACTCAAGAATCTTAAATGTTGGAGGGAATTTGTGAAGCATTGTGGAATAGGGGAACCGGCGCATAGAATCCAAAAGCTATTTCTGGAAGCCATAACTCACCACCAAAGCTCTCACCTACACTGTCTCTCCCCCATCCCGCCCTCCCCAGGGACTATAGGGAAAAAACAGCTCCATGCCCCCGTGGTTGTATTGCCAAGTAGAAATTGCTGATGTGGAATGAGAATAACAAAGACGGGTGTGGGCCCGTGTTAAGTTGTTTCTTGCACATTCCGATGCCGTGGAATACGGAGAAGACGGGACCTGTAGGGTTGGAGTCTCAGGGAAATGTCTTTCTGCTTTAGCCATGGCAGGAAGAGGGCAAGTGCCCTGGAGGGTTGCTGATTCAGGCTTTCTAATTGTCTCTCTCGTTTCAGGTCTTCATAGAGAAGCAGAAAGGAGAGATCCTGGGTGTGGTGATCGTGGAGTCCGGCTGGGGCTCCATCCTGCCGACCGTGATCATAGCCAACATGATGCATGGCGGGCCTGCCGAGAAGTCGGGGAAGCTGAATATCGGGGACCAGATCATGTCCATCAACGGCACCAGCCTGGTGGGCCTGCCTCTGTCCACCTGCCAGAGCATCATTAAGGTACCTGGGGATGGGGTGGGGGAAGTCCACTTCTGTGGCAGGCCTGAAGCGTGCCTGCAACTCAGTCATTAATATTCATGAGCATAGTCCCAGTGTCGGGCACTGAGGACACACAGAGACCAAAGGCACGGGCTTGCACTCGGCTGTTTACCATCAAGTTACTATTTATAGACTCCTCCCTGAAATCGTTTTTACATCAAAGATGGGATGGTTGGCTCAGATAACACCGGTGTCTGATACTGTGCCCATCAACAGGCGTCACTTATCAGTCACAGCGCTCTCTCCACTGTCTCAGCAGAATTGTCCTCAGCCCAGTCACCTAGTCACCCTCCCCCCCCCCCCCCCCCGGCAGTGGTTCTCAGTGGGGGGCTCTCGAACCCCATCTCTGGGAGACATACAGCAAGGTCTAGAGATAGTTGGGGTTGTCACAACCAGGGAGGAGGACATGCTGCTGGCCCCCAGTGGGTAGAGGCCAGGGTTGTTGCCAAGCACCCTTCAATGCAGGGGACAGCCCCACAGCAAAGGACCACCCAGCCCACATGCCCACAGTGCTGAGGGTGAGAGGGCTGACTTAGGCGGGTAGGAGATCAGATGAGGGGAGAGAAGTCAGGAGAGAGGAAGGGC